ACCCGTTTCTCTCTTCCACCTTTGGAAGGATTGGAAGTTTGTCTGGGATTAATACCCGTTTCTCTCTTCCACCTTTGGAAGGATTGGAAGTTTGTCTGGGATTAATACCCGTTTCTCCCCTTAATACTTCGGGTGCATTGCAAGTTTGGACTTTTCCCATCACCATTATATCTCAGACCAAGAAGTCCGGGGTGGTGGGCCATAGGACTTCTCCCCCCCCCCCCCCCCCTTTCCCCCCTCTCTGCCCCCCCCCTGCCCCCCCCCCCCCTTCTTTCCGTGGTTAAAGAAGCCGCTTGAAACCTTCAGCAGTTCAAAGGGACAAGCGCCTGGCTCTGCAGGACCTGTTTAGAATTCGAAGCCGGGCCTTGAACATTTCCGGAGGAGGCCGAGGCTCGGCTCTTTCCTGGTGGCCACGGGCGGCCTCCGCAGGGCAGGGATTTTAATCAAAAGCATCTTCTGGAGGCTCGTTAACCTCTCGGAAGGGGAAGGTGGGTGGCTCAACCTGGGTTTTTTTTCTCTCTCTCTGCAGCGTGGAGTGACATTTAGTGACAGGAATTAGCATTTATGGGGGTGAAAGCTACCCGGTGCGGTTTTATTGTTATTATTATTCCTTCTTTCTTTCCCTGCATGCTAATATTTTGGCGGCGTCAGAGCCCAAGCAAGGGCTGTCGTTCACTTCTACGCCTTCCAGCCCCAAATTTTCAAGCTCTGCCTTCCAGTTTATTGACAGCTGTCAATGTGTCAGTTGGTGTACCACTTTAAGGGGGCTTCTCCCTCCTTCCTACATATGTCAATCTGTCACCTTATATACCAATATAAAGGAGCTTATGTATCCCTCCCTCCCCCCCCCCCTCCATCTATCCAGCCACCCCTCCTTCTCTCCCTCCCCCTTTCCCAACCATCACATAATCCAGGATTTACAACCATTCATTTAGTGACTGTTCAAAGTTATGACACCGCCACCTCCACCCTTCCCTTCCTTCCCCTTCCTCCTCCTCTTCCTCCTCCTCTTTCTCTTCCTCTTTCTCC